TACGGAATGTGCTGGTGCGTGCGGGGGTCCCGATACCTCTTGGCGAGGCCAAAGTCGACAATGTAGACGTGGTGCCCCTTCTTCCCGGTGCCCATCAGAAAGTTGTCAGGCTTAATGTCGCGGTGGATGACGCTCTTGCTGTGGACGAACTCGATGCGCGCAATCATTTGCTCGGCCAGCAGCAGCGTGGTCTTCAGCGAGAGTTTCCTGTCGCAGAAGCTGAACAGGTCCTCGAGTGAGGGCCCCAGCAGGTCCATCACCATCACGTTGAACTCGCCCTCCACGCCGTAGAACAAAATGTTGGGGATGCCCACGACCCCGCCGCCAGCGTTGAGGATGCGGTAGAATCGGGCCTCGAAGGCGAGCTGTGGGTGCCGCGTCTTCACCTGCTCCAGCTTGATGGCCACGGGCTCGCCGGTCTGAATGTTTGTCCCGCGGAAGATCTCGCCGAACGAGCCCGCCCCAATCTTCTGGCCGATGCGGAAGCGGTTGCCAAATAAGCTCTCCATATTGTAGCTTGTCTTGTTTTTTTTTTTGCTTCTTCTATGAGGAGTAATGGCGCCTCTAGTCAATGTGTTTTGTTGTTGGTTGTGTCGTGGCCTTCCTGGAGCGCCTTATAAGGGTTGTTTGGGTGGTGTGTGTGATATTCAATATGTTTGGTGTTGTGGGTGTTCCAACCCCCCTCCTTTTCGTGTTGTGCGAAAGTAGCACCTCAAGGGGCCATTCTTTTGTTGCAGTGAATAAGTGCCGGTGGAAAGAGGTGGGAGTGGAGGGGGAAGAGGGTGGTGCATGTGAGCAAAAACACACAAAATGGGCATGGAGAGGATGATGTACACGTACCCACTTCTACGTGGGCGGATGAAGATCAAGAAAAAAAAAAAAAAAAAAGAAAATGGAAGTGCACGCTTTATGCGTGGTCGCATACATCTTTTTTTTATTTTTTTGTTGTTGTGTGTGCTTGTTTGTTCTCGTTTGTTCTTCCATTCTTTGCCCTCCTACTCGGGTGTTTTCCTTTTTTTTGGTTTCTGTGCGACGCAGTTTCGTGGCTGCCCAACTTCGGCACATGCTCGTTGAGATCCTGCGATATATATATATATATATATTATTATTATTATCTCGCCCTCTCTGGCTGCACTGACGTGGGGCTTTTGCCGCTCTTGGCGAGTGTCTTTCCGCCACGTTGCTTTGTTGCTCGCGTGCGTGTATTTCACTGCGGACACACAAACACACACACACACACACACACACAGAGAGAGAGAGAGAGAGAGAGAGACGCAGGTGCTAAAAATTCCTTTTGGCGTGTCCCGTAAACTTCTTGCCGCCGTTGCCAGCACCGCCTTCTTTTTCTTCATCCTTCCCCTCCTCTTCCTCCTCGTTGCCGTCCCATCCCGTGTACTCAGTGGAACTCCCACCATAGTACCTGTTCGCCTTCTTACGGTATTCGTTTTGGCGATCGGTCATCGCGTTGGCCTCGGCCGCAACGCGTTTTTCTTCTTCCTCCTCCTTCGCACGGAGCTCGGCCATAGTGCCGAATCGGACCCTTGTGTCAGTCGTAGCAGTGCCACGTACATTACCGGCAAGCACGGATTCACGAGGGACGTGCGCGGGTGCAGCGGCAGGAGTTAACCCAGTGCCACGTCGCAGCAGCGAGGACACGAGATCATATAATCCACCTTTACTGTTATTTGAAGGTTTTCGCTCCGGTGGGAGTGTTGTGGATGGGCCACCGGTGGGAACGACTCGCAATGCTGACGAGGTGCGCATGCCGAGGGTCTCAAGCGGTTGTGCCTCCTCATCTAGGGAGAAGCGATGAGGCGGGTACGCGCGAGCAAAGACAAAGGCGTTGTGACCAAGCAGCTCTGCAAGGGGGCAACGCAGGTGCGTGGATAAGGTTGCAACAGCGGGGTCAAGCTCATCCACGGTGTGGGTGCCCCCGCTCGGCAGGGAGCAGCGCACGTGAATACAGGCAGATGCCTTGGCAACGGCGGGCTTTGGCTCCGGTGGTGCTTCCTCGCTTGCTTCCATGGCGGGGGTTGTGGGGGGTGCCGGCATCGTTTTCTGCTGTTGGGCGGAGTTCGGCTCGCTGCTCGGAGGCGTGCCACGAATCCTACACACGCCTCCATCGCAGCATCCCGTCGGTCGCTCCTCGCCGTGCTTGGTGTGCGGTCCACGGTTGCACTCTTCCCCAGCGGGCTGCGGCGCTGTCGCACTCGCCCCGCCCCGTACAACCGTCACCGTTGTGTTGTGCGGCAGCGTCTGAATATCAAGCCTGGCGGCCGCCTCCACAGAGTCCACCACCACCACCACCTGGTCGGTCGTTTCTCCTTCACTGACGGCTCCCACGGCAGCGGTAGCGGGCGGTGCGACGTGTAGGACAAAAGTCGCGCTCCCAGGTGGATGCGCCGCCTCGCCCGCCGCCTGCTGCTCCCGGTTAAGGGCCTGCTGGACCTTCACCCACACGGTACGCAGCGTCATGCCAGGCGAGGTGACGACCACCTCCCGTTTCTCAAGGCCGTTGAGCGCAACAAAGTGCAGACCCGTAGGACCATTGAAACCCGCCCCCGACGCCATTGTATGCGCAGAAGCAGCGCCGACTCCAGCTCTCATCAACGCCGCCGCACCGCTGCCCCCCGCCGCCGTGGCAGCATTCATCTCTTCAACGTGCCGCATAAATTCCTCCTTCGCTCCGGCAAGTTTCGTTGGTGGGGGCATCTGCAGCTCAATGCGAACGGCCTCGCAAATAAGCTCAGGGGTAAGGGTGGAACCGCTCAACACACTCCGTGGACGTTCCCGTAACGAGGGTGGAAAGACATGCAGACGCGGAACGCTGGTACTGGACTCCGGCACCGCGGCAACGAAGAGGTTGTGCGCCGCAGACCCTGCCTCCATAAAATGCACAACCGCCATTAAATCCAAGCGGGATGCGTGCAACACGACCTCCAACGCATGCCGCTGAGCTACCCCATTGCCGGCCAGCGGCGCGCTACCCAACTGAAACGTTGCCTTCATGACGCGCTTTCCATGGGAAGACAACGTATACATTTCCGCCAAGTCAACATCGTCGGTATGGGTCCTGGGCGTCTCTTCAATAGCGCTGTGCACGAATACCAGCAACGGGACCTGCCACCGCTTGCTCAGTGCAAGCGCGTCCTCCACGTTGATGCACACTCGGAGCATGTAGAGATCTCTCGGCCTGGCTTCCACCCAATAACGTATAACAGGTTACAGGGACAAGAGCAAGGGCTCAACGGAAACCAAAAAAGGAATAGCGACTCTCGGTTTGTGGCGTTTGCGGCACAGAGAAAGAGATAGAAACAATAAGCACGGACTTAGAGACGTAAGCCAACCAGAAATGAAATCTGCCTACTGTCCTTACACTCACCAGACCCTCCATCTACTTGAATGCAGCAAATGACTCTGCTAAACGCCAGTTTATTTGCTGGCTGGTTTTATTGCCTCCCTGCACGCCTTCTTGCAACACACCTCCGTTTTCTCATTCATACCATTCGTTTCCAAAATTCCCTCGTTTTCAGCTAAAACGCCCCCCTCCCTCCCTTCGTTTTACTTCTCATTCTTTTCCCAGCGTGTCTCACCGTTGCTCGGTATGAAACGGCAGCAGACACCTCTCGTGTTACCCCCATGTTTTTTGTTTGTTTGCTTGCGTTTATGTGTGCGGTTTAACATCGCAGCACCCCCCCCCCCTCCCACCCCCGTGTCCTCCCAAATCCCCTCGGTGAGAACTCAACAGTAATAAAAAAAATAAAAATAAATAACAAAACAAAACAAACTAACAGTAACAATAAAAAAAAAGATATAAAACAACAACAACAACAACAACAAACACGCCTGCTCAGACATACACAACGCAATTATGAAACATTTTCGGGCCCACTATAGCCCCTTTTGCACTTCAACCAACGCTTATTGTTTAGAGGCTCCGTTTTGTTTTGACCTTCTAATTTTGTTTCATTGCGCCGTCTGCAGCGTATTCTACCCACCGCACTACATGTGCGAGCCGCTGAGCACGGCAAACTCGTTCACCTGCCTCTCAAAGTAGACCTCGCCCTTCCGCAGGGCCGTTGAGGGGAAGGTCGGATGCTTCGGGCTGTCGGGCAGGTACTGCGGCTCCAGGCCCACAGCGACGTGGCGGCCGTAACGCTTACCCCTTTCACCGTTCGCGTCCCCCGGCTTGCCGTTCACAGTGTGCATCCACATGCAGGGAAAGGTTGAGTACACCCTCATCCGAATCCGTGACGAGGGACTGTACGCCTCCGCGTTCAGCAGCATCCCTTGCTTTGACTTCGCCTCCCAGCCATCGACCAAAAAGGGATGGTCGTAGCCGCATGGGTTCCGGCCAAGGACAGCCTGGTTGTCAATGTCTTCACCGAGTGGCTTGCCGCGGCGGAAGTCCAGGCACGTGCCTGTGACATCCTTCAGTACACCTGTTGGGATTGCCGCAGCGTCTCCCTCCAACACGCGGCTGCACGGCATCTTGAGCACCATATTGTACACCTTCTCCGGCTGCTTCCAGCGCGGGTTTGACGCCGTGTTTGCGTCTGGCACGCCGTTCAGGTTCCAGTACGCGTGGTTAAAAATATTCACAACCGTGGCGTCAGCGGGGGAGCCATCAGGAATAAAGGCCGAGTACTCCGTGTGCAGCGCCGCCGGCCGCTTTCGCTCAATGTAGTAAAAAACGAAGATGCGCAGCTCGGCGGGGAGACCCTGGTCCATATGCGGTGAAACCAGACTGAACCGCACCCCCACCACGTCTGTCGTCTCCACAGGGAGGAACGACCAGTGGCGCCTGTCGTAGCCCTCCGCGCCACCGTGTACGGAGTGTGGACTGCCCGGCTTCCGTGACACATGAAATTCCTCACCATCAAGCGTCAATTTCCCCTCACTGACGCGGCCAGCAAAGCGGCCGACTGTGCAGCCCATGTAGTCCGTGTCCTCTGCGGTTTCCTCTGGTCCAGGGTAGGCGCAGTGCACCTCAACCCACCGAGACCTCTGCGCATCCCACACCTTGACGGAGTTGATGGACGCTCCGAGCGTGACAAAAGCGCAGCGAAGGGCGGGTGAGTGCAGGTGGATCCGCTTCCCCGGACCAAACTTCTCAACGCGGAGCGACAACGACATCGAGCACTTAACACCTCTGGATTTCGGCCACCTTTTCTTACTGCTTGTACAAAACACAAAACACGTTTTTGAACTTCCGTGATGTGCGGTGGGCGTAGAGGCCAAAATGTAAAGAACCATGAAAGGAAAAAGAGGAAAAGTGTGGGTGGGTGGAAATGGAAAAGGCAGAGAAGACATGTATGTTGGGTGAGAGGCCTGTGAAGGCGAGGCGGGCGCACGGGGGCTAGCAGCAATCCACCCCTCCACCTTCGCAGCAGCAGCAGCAGCAACAGCGATGGTGAAGACGTTCCTCTTCACACGCGAGAGAAAAAAGTGACGGTGCTTTCAACATCACCACCATCATGCTTCTTTTTTTTTTCTTATTATTTTTTGTTTCACTCCTTCTGATTTCTGCCCTCTTAAAGAACAAACTAACAGTAACAACAACACAAAAGATAGTAACAATAAAAAAGAAGAATTACACGTACCTGTGAAAGACGTCATTCCCACCTTTGGCGTAAAACTCCTCGACGCCGCGACGCACGTAATTGGCCGGTACATACGCCGCGGCCTGCTCGGCCGACAGCAGCGGGTACGGCTTGTAGCACAACACAAAGGCCTCTACCTCAACACCACAAATTTCAGCCGCCTCCATGCGGCTCACGTCTGCGCCTGCCTCGTGCAACGCCGTGTTTGCCTTCCCCAACGAGAACGCAAACGTCGAGGAGGCGTTGCGCATGAAGGCGGCCCGTAAGGCACCATACGGCAGACCCTCAGCCCCCGTCTGCTTCCCTGTCATTGCTGCTTGCACGGGCGCAGTTGCGACGGCGTCCAGGACGGCGACACCGATAATACGCTCCACACGATATCGCCACCCCCGCGGGACAAACACAACATCACCCGGCAGTGCTCGAACTTCATACATTACACGCTCACGTTGTGGTGTGTGTGTGGCCCCCGTGCCACTCTTTGGCACCGCCGCTGCCTCCTCAGCCGCCACATGGTTGCAGTGCGCTCCCTGCAAAATACGTCGCGCTGTCCGTGGGCCGTCCGCAAACACGTGCGTCGGACTACCATATCCCAGCGCCGCCTGTCGCTGCATGCGCTCTTCATTTTCCTGTGCACACATGGCAACCACCTCCGCAGGGGCATAGAAGGTAAAAAGCAACTCGCGCTGAGGCAAAATGTACGTCTCACAGTCCTCTCGACCCAACAAGGCACAAACGCGTGAGGGGGACAATGGCAGTGCATCACCACCAGTACTGCCACTGCGCACTGCAGCGGGTCGTTTTTCCGTCAATGTCCTCACATAAAGCGGTATCTTTGGGTCCAAACTCACACCCAACTTCCAAGGCTCTATAATGCCAGCTGGAATGCTGTGAGAGGCGCCTCCACCGTCGCTCTCCTTGCTCGCACGACCACGCGGCGCCAAGAAGGAGGCGCCAGACTCGTGCATTGGAGATGCGGGCTCATCGTGGGCCTTGGATGTCCCCACATTTTCCTCTAAGTATTCCTCGCCGCCATTTCCCCCTCTTGTGTAGACACGCAGAAGGCATTGAATGTGTCCAAACGGCATCCCACCTGCCCCTGCCGCAGCTGCCGCCTTCCCGTCATCACCCCTGCATGCTGCCCTAGATCGCACGAGCAAAGGGGATCCTACAGCGAAGTGCACGACAGGCTCTAACCCACCGGCTAGTCGCGCCACCACCGACCTTCGTGTGTGATCTCCCCCACTTTTATCGAGAGGCGCCCAGGCGGGATGGGTGGCGGTGTCCACGTCTGTGTCTGTGGAAGGTGTTGTCAGAAACAGAGCCGAGGACGGTAGCTGTGTGTGGACATAAAAAAAGGAGGATGGAAATGACGCGACACTCCGCAGCATATCCCCCATAAGGTCTCTGTGGGAGGAGCTCGACACCTCCGCATTTCCCGCCGCCTCCTCATCCGCCATGACGCCGCCGTGGCCGGCGCTCAGCAGCGCAGTCAGCTCCTCCCGGATTGTCTGTCTGACACAGCCGCTCCCGGCACCACCCTCGTCCGTCGCCTGCGGCTTCAACAGGGCCGCAAAATGACTCTCGATAACGCCACACAAGGGCGCCAACAGACTGTCCTCGGCAGCGCGCGACGACTCTGCTGTCGTCTCTCCACCACAACCAGTCATCTCACTGAAGCTGACCGACCTCTCACTCCCTTCGCCAGCGTTGAGATTCACCCCGTGACTGAGACGAGACGGTGCCAGGGCAACGGGTCTTGCGTAGAAAAATGGCCGCCGCGCCGGATCCTGCCGCACACGACCATAAGCCTCAGCAAAGGCGTGCTGAGAGGAGGGCAGCACCACCTGGGGCTGATTCCGCACCCCGCGTCCACCCCGCACTACCACCACGCGATACGGCCGCCGCGCCCCACCGGCCGGGTACAGCGTGTGGTGGAAAAACAACTTGGACAGACGATTTTCCTTCCCCACAATGTATCGCGGCATCGTGGTAAAAAACGGTGTGGACGACTTCAGGTTTGCCCCCGCAAGGTCATCCACAAGCGTGTCTGGAAGCGGACAACCCTCCAGGAACTTCTGCACATACGGGGAGTTCCTGCGCCTTAGCTTCAGGCAGGATGCAGTGGGACGCAACATGGACGTCAGTCACACCGGCACGCACCGTCTTCAGTTACCCTTTCCCCTGCCTCTTCTACGTCCTGGTGCTTTTGTTGTTGTTGTTGTTGTTGTTGTTGTTGTTGCTGCTGCTGCCGCTGCTGTGTGTATTTGTGTGTGTGAGAGAGAAAGAATAAATTCCGCTTTCCTTTCTGTTTACTAGCAACGCCGTCTGTTGTTGTTGCGTAGTCGTGTGGACGCCGACGTGAAATACGGCAAAGCAAAGCAGCGAGACACTGCGGCAAAAGAAGGCGGCCTCCCCCCCACCCCCACACACACGGGCAGCCAACAAGAGAGAGAACAGAAGGAAAAAAAGGAATAAGGTGCTGATATTAAAAAAACAACTATAAATGAGCGAATACGTGCGAGTGAGTGAGAGTAAAACAATACAAAGGACAACAACAACAACGGAAAAAAACTAAAAAAAACTAGCACACACGGCGGCGAGGACTTACTCCGGCCGGAATCGCGCGAGAGGCGGAGGAGAAGCTCACAGCCTCGTCTTCCTCAGGTGCAGACAGCCTTCAGTCCCGTCATTCTTCACGCTCTCTCTCTCTCTCTCTCTCTCTCTCTATCTCCCGGTGTGTGTGTGTGCAACGCTGCCGTTGTTGTTGCTGTCGCTTGTGTCATATTTTTCTTAAATTTATTTTTATATATTCCAAAAAGCCCACGCCATCACTATCCTCTGTTGTTGTTGTTGTTGTTTTGTTTTGTTTTGTTTTGTTATTTATTTATTTATTTATTTATTATTTTTGTCCTCTTGTCTTTTCCGTATATGACTTCTCTTTACGCCGTTATTGCTGCTTCAGCACATTTCCACTCCGCCCCGTGTGCTTCTGGCTCCTCGCGATAGATATCCCCCCTCCGCACAGTGAACCCCAACACGGCTCTCACCCCCTCCCCCTGCCCCCGCTTTCTCGCCTTCACTCTCTACTTATTTCCTTCATGTTATCTCCCACGCCCCCACTCTGTTTTTTTTTTTTTTGTTCTTCTTCTCTTTTGGTTCATGTTTTGCGAGTCCTCCCCTGCACTTCCCCGCTCAGCCTCATTTCTGCCTTCGCGTCGCTTAAGCGGCACACTCGCAAAAAAAAAAACAAACAAACAAACAAACAAAAAACACACACGCACCTACAGCCGCACAAACGCATGCATATATGTATATCTGCCTTCTCCCTCCCCCTCCCTGCTTTTCGCTGCTGCTTTCGGTGGTGGCGTCGTCGTCTGCGGAACTCGCTCCTCCGCACCCCCTCCGCCTCCGCCTCCGCCTCGTTGTTCCTGCCGAAGCAGCGTCAATAATAATAATAATAATAATAATAATAGTAATAGTAATAATAATGGTAGTAGTAGTGGTAGTAATGATTTACGAACCCCCTCCCCCCATCCAAAATAAAAACAAAAACAACAACCGTGATGGGGCGTCTCCAGCTGTTGTGAACGACAACGGCGGAAGGTCACTCCTTTTTTTTTGTTTTCATTTTCACTGCCTTTGTATAAACCCTCTTTGTACTGTTTTCGTCGCTGCCTGGCCAATGCATTCACCTCCACCCCCGCTAGCCTTCCCTCTGTGCTCGTGTGTTTGTGTGGGAAGCCGCAGGCAAGAGAAAGCGAGGCCGCGACACCGGCAGAAGGCAAATAAATAAAAAAAATGTCGCTACTTCCTGTTGTCCTTCCGTTGTGAGTGTTTCTGCTGTCCCCGACGTTGCCCGCGTCGTCTACCCGCGCCATTGCCGTTGCTGTTGTCTTCACCCATAGCATCCGGGCCCGCGCCACCGCCGTGCCTACGGGAGTGGTGGTACGGGTTATAATTGGAGGCGGTACCCTCGCTCACCGCGGCAAAGTCCTCATCGTTGCCGTTTCCCCCCGCATCCGTGATGGGCATGGCATTCTTCACGTTTGGGTTTGTGTTCTCCATCCAGATCCGCACACGAAACATGCGGTAAAGCTCGCGCACCAGGGGACGGAAGTCAACGCTGTGCTCGCTGTTGAAGTAGAAGCTTACCTTCTCCATGTCGAATTGGTACTCACAGTCCTGGGGGGTGAGGTTGATGCCCATTTCGGCGCACACCCTTCTGCAGGTTTCTAGGGCCACGCGTTCTGAGTGCTGCACAGTGTTGTGCAGGTAGGTGGTCTCTTCCTCTGTCGCCAACCCCAGCACACGTCCCTTCTCCAGCTTAATCTTGTCTGGAATGATATACGTACCGTCCATGCAGAAGGAGGTGGTGGAGCCATCGGGTAGCGTCTTAATGGTCTGCACAAGCAGACCGCAGTCCTTTCCACGATCCCCGTCCACCATGACGTAGCGTCCCGGGGAAATGTCTATGTTGCACTCGTACTTGCGCACTCGGTGTCGCTTAAACTCTACAAAGGCGAGAAACGTTGACACCAGTTCACCTTCCGCAGAGGTTGGTGGATCCACAGGGCGATGTGGGGGACCACTCAGTGCACCTACGTGTCCCCGACCACGACCCACGGCAGAGGTCTCTATAAAATTATGTCCCGTCTCCGCAGATGCAGTATACGCAGCTGAAGGATCCTCGCCAGAGGCAATATACGATGAGTGTGTTATTGGATATACCTGCGTCGTAGACACCACACCTTCGCCACCATACGGGCTGATGTGTCCTGACGGAGGCGTGATGGTGGTCTCGAGTTGCTGATACGGTTGCTGCTGCTGCCGCTTCATAGCAGTCGCGCCCGGTACATCTGCCAATTTGCGGCTGCCGTTTTTGATAGAGTCATTGCGTGACTCCGGAAGACACCATAGCCCCTGGTCGCAAAGCGGTGCTGCAGCTACCGTCGCAGCTGCTTGTGCAGGAGCTCCAAAAAGAGGCGCCCCGCTTGCGTCGGTCAGCTGATGCAGTTGCTGGTGTTGTTGTTGATGCCGATATTGATGATTAGGCAACTGCAGCTCTGAATTGGTGAAAAAGTCCCTTGCCGCCTCAACGTTCATGAGGTTGGAAGCGGCAGACATGTCCCGGAGTTGAAGGAGTTGCTCAATGTCCCCCTCCAAGTGTTCAATCACTTGCCTCAAAACAGCCACCGAGGGGGAGGAGGGAGCAATCGCCTGGGCTATCCCAAGCTGGAGTGCCGCCATACCTTTGGACTCGCCTAGGCATGCCATGAGCCGCTCCAGCATCACTTCTTTACCTGGCATAAGCGCGGGCCGCGACGCATCGGACCCAGGCACATCCTCTGCTTGTGCTGTGGTGGCTTGCGGCGTGATTGTGGTGGAAGGCATAGGAATGGGGTACTGTTGCATGCTGTGCTGCAGCTGCGGAGGCTGAACCAACGCAGTGGTGTACTTGGAGGGCGCCATCACGTATCCCTGATTCTGCGGCGCGCTAGAAATGGGAGAGGTGGTATGCATTTCCAACGGATTTACACCACCATGTGCAGAGACACCGGCGCTGGCGCTGCCTGGATGTGCAACACCGTCCTTGAGACCGCCCACCCCGCTGCTACTTTTGCTGGGGATCGTGACGGCATCAAGTGAGGTGTTATTTGGGGTACGCGGCTGCAATGCCTCTGACGTCTGCAACTGTCGTTTTTGTCTTTCATTGTTCCATGGGGCCCCGCTGCTGCCGCCTGAAGGTTTAAACGGCAGCGACAGGCGGCTAAAGAAGCCGTCAAGAATATCCTCGCTGCCATTGACGTCCGTAGTGGTCATTGGCGATAGTACCTTTTCCCCACACACTCCCTCCCGCCTCGGCTATATGTAAGTATATATATATATATATATATATATGCGTGTGATTCCCCTCGTGTAGGCAGCGGCAGGTGGCCTGGGCGTGCAGCAAACTCCAACAGCGCTGTGCAAACACGACGCGACCTTCCAAATTGGGCGCCTCCCTGCACGTACAATGCGGTGCAAACAAATGAACTAAAGAAAAAAATGGGAAACAAATATATTAAAGAAAGAGAGAGAGATAGAGAGAGAGAAAGAGGTGTAGCCGCGTCGGCGCCTTTTTCCTTTTTCCCTTTCGCTCTTTACTCTTCCCCAGCTTTTCCTTTCACCGCTAGTACAATTTCTCGTACCCCTTGCGTTACCCTAATATATATGTATATATGTATGGAACTAATGATGCCGCTGCCGGCAACTGCGTTCTTCCTTCTTTTTTGTTTTTGTTTCCCTTCTCCTTCTTCCCTTCTTTTATGCTACAACGTTGTTCCCACGCTTGCCTGGACACCCACAACGCAGCGCTGCAGCGGGTTGTCCTTTATATATATATATAAATATATATTTATTTTATTTGTTTTGGCTTCTTGTAGTTTGCTTTGTGATGTGTGTGTGTGGAAAACTGGCCCGGGTGCTGGACGCGCCTCTCCGCCTGTCTGTAAGCTCTGTCACCGTTCTCTCTCCCTCTCCCTTTATTTCGTTCAGTACAACTTCCGTGCAGTGGCGATCGCGGGAAGGCAGACACACCGCGTCAGAGGAGGAAAGCAACGTACTACTCTGACTGCACAAGCAACACAGACAACACAACGGAGCGCAGGGGCCGCAGAGAGCCGTGTGAGTTCTATGCACAGTAATATTATATATATGTATATATGCGTGTGCGTATGTAGGCGGGTGAGTGTTCGCTGCTGGTTTTGCCGCTTGTTCGTCTGTCACTCCCCCACGAGCACTTTTGGTTTGCTGGTTGGCTGGTTGGGCGGTGGTTTCTCCGCAACTGCCCGTGACACGCCATGCGGCGCCAAGGCAACAACAACAACAACAACGAAACAAAAAAAAGTATTTGAAAAGCGAACAATCAGGCAAAAAGAGCACACGTGCGCTCAAATCAGCGAAGGCACGCGCAGACGCGGCGGTGCAGTGGCAGAGAGCCCAACAGAGCGAGACAGACGCAGGCACACACACGCTGCAGTCAGAAACAGCAACAGACGGTAACAGACACACAACAATGCAAAAACAAACAAAAAACAAAAAAGAAAGGGAGTCCGCATTGCTTTACTCCTCAAGCATGTAGCAACGGAGACGGCGCAGGTCCCACCACGCGGTTGCGAGTCCCACTGCACCGCATACCGCCATGACGGTATGACGCCGCCGTCGCTCCGATTGAGTTTCGCGATGGTAGTACTACTCCGTTGGTTACTGGGAGGTCTTGAGCATGTCCTTATCGTACTTCTGCCGGTGCTGAAGCTGCGACACCTTCAGGCGTGGCGACTTCACATGCATAGCGGTGGGGGAGAGGTCGTCCCCGGTGAAGTAACTGCGCGCCTGCCACGCTGCCGGCTTTTCCGTTTCACGGCCGTAGATGTCAATCCTGCGCTGCCTGCTTCAGCGCCTCGCAGCCCTCCTCGCCAAAGTTGTGATCGTACTTGCTGCCAAAGAGATTCCGTTGTTGGCAAAACGGCATGCGGTTCTCTATCTTTTCCGCTGAGTTTCTCAAAGCTGCGGTCAAACTTCCCACTCGGGGTGCGCGCCGGGTTTGGTTTGATCGTCGGCGGTCACAGGAGGACGTGGGTGCGGCGAATCCCGCCAGCCGCGAGGCAGCACACAGGCCACAGGGGCACAGCACAACCTGCGACGCACCTGCAGCGCCGCCCACGCGCCCCACCACTACAGCCGCCGCAGCGACTCAGCAGCGTCCGACACAACCAGCCCTCAACGCTGTGTGACATGTGACCCGCCGCCGCCGCCACACGCCGGGCTGAACTCTCACCACAGGCGTCACAGAAAAAAAAAAAAAAAAAGGTTACCTTAAAGGCCATAAAACGGAAAGGCAAAATAATATGTACCTCCCTTTCTGTTGCCCTTCACCCCGTTGGCTGCCCGCCCTCTTCCGCTGGACAGACCTCCACGCCCTCAGCGCTCCTCCCCCTTCCACACACATACGCATAGAAAAAGAGAGCCACCATAGCTTGCGTTCTACCCAAAGAAGAACATGAAGAAAAATAAAAAGAAAATAGTGCCGAAGAGCGAGACGAGAATCATGATATTTTTCCGAATCGCTTGGAAACGCTGTCGCCGCCGTTGGCGCTGATGGTACCGATACAACTGCTGTGGTGACATAGCACTAAGTCGCGCTACTTCCCGTTCATTCTTTTCCGCCATGGAGTCCACATCCTGAAGAAATTGATGGAACTGGTCTGGCGGCAGAGCACGGCGCATCATTTCAATCTCGTTCGCAAGCTCACGAGCAGTGAGCTGTGACGTCTTGTAGGAAAGCTCCTGCTGGTACTTTTCGAGTCGCTCCGCCAGCTCCTCACGCGAGACGCCTGGTATGGTGTCAGGGAGCTGCTTAGGGTCCACACTAAAGTTTGCGGGGAACGGCGGTGCCTTTTTGCTCTCCGCCCGAGATTCACTGCTAGTGGTGTTGCCCACGCTCAGCATGCGGCGGCACCAGAGGTGGGGTGCACCGCATGAAAGGCGAAACAACGAAAGATATGGTGGGCGTGACGGTGTTACGAAGCCAAAGCGAGACAGCATGGTCCCGCTCCTTCTTGTTTTTTCCCCTGCTCTCTTCACGCACGGCAGGGAAGGACGCCGGCCCGTGGTTGCTTACTCCCTAAAAACACAGTAAGGGGGAGTAAAGGAAAGAGCGAGTGCATGCATCCGCGCATCAACGTGCGGCAACATTTCTAGTGAAAACAAAAAAAAAAAAAGCAAACCTAACCGACACGGCAAGCGGCGAAGACACAGACAGCGGGACGCGTCTGTGTGGAAATTCCCTCAGCCAACTTTTCCTGTTTACCCCCTCCGACACCAAAACAACTACATTTTGTCGTCGTTGTGTGTTTTTTTTTTCCGAGGCCAAAAGAACAAATGGAAGCAACAACAACGCCAGCGGAGGAATTGTGTGCAACTTCACCTTCTTCCACCGCTGGAGCAAAACAACCACAACAACAAGAGCAAGAAAAAGAACGAGAAACACGACACAGAAACGGTTCCGCGGTTGCATGGCCTCTGCAAGGTATTCTCAAGATCCTTGCCGACTGGTGCCCCTCACTTCAGTCCAACTCCATTAATATAGAAGAGGCTCGCAGGTTATTTTTCTTACGGAGCTCCGCTGAGGGATCCACTTGAACCTCCGCTGCGCCAATTCGCGTCTCTGATGAGGACTTGCAGGTTCCAGAGTTTGACCACTTCGAGACATGCTGAGAGATCACCTCACGCAGGCTGAGCGGCTCCGACGCCCTGGTGGCATCTGCAGCATTTGCGTCGCTCAATGGGTCCAAGCCATGCAGCACGCTATAGCGGTACTTTACCCTGCTGCTCTCTTCCTCCACTATCGGCGTGCTGTTTTGGGTGTAGGGCGCCATTGACACGCGGGTGTCCGTGTGAATAACTCTGAGACTCTCGCTCACATCGCTCGCGAAGAGGCAATCAAATCTTCCGTATTCAGGCGAGTCAGCCATAAGCTCTTTGAGCCGCTCCAGAGCCTTGGTTCGCACCTCCTTCATGGTCATGTCACTCTCCAGTTGGTGGAGTCTGCGTACCTCCTGCACCTCCTCGAGTTGCATATCAAACTCTTTGCCAAACATTTAAGTTTGTGGTAACGACGCCGGTGGTTTTCGTTTTCTTCCTTTTTTTCCCCTTTCCTTTCCTTTCCTTTCCGTCCCCTCTCTCTCTCACAGAGAGAGAGAGAGAGAGAGAGTGTGCACGACGTATACACGTGTAGATAGACTCCAAACAACTTGGGCAGGCCGAGCAACCCTCGCTTGTTTGTGTGAATCACGCTTTATAACCGTGGTCTCGCCGTATGTAAGCAGCCTAAGAAGCGAGAGCTAACGGAAAGTCCATTCCCATTGCTTTTCCAATGCAAACGAACAGCGAGAGGGGGGGGGGGGGGGTGTAGAGAG